GTGGGTAAGAACCTCACTTCTTCAGATGCAAGAAGTGAAGTTCTTACCCACGAAAGCTTATGCTCCCAGTACTTCTGTTAGTCTCAAAGGTGCCACAGGACCCTCTGTTGCTTTTTACAGATTCAGACTAACACGGCTACTCCTCTGATAATTAATTTGTTGGTTAATGATACCTTTTTAATTTTTAGTTGTACATGATACCATTATAAATTCTCCTTTTCCTTGCAGATTTACCATCATGTGACTGGCAGATATGCAGCTTACCATGACCTGCCAATGGCTTAGCCATATGAGTAATTCAGGATGACTTTTATAAAGAGAATTTTAAGAAAATAATATCCTAAAGTCTTTCCTGCAACCGAGTCCAAAAGTGCATATAAAAGAACCAATTCTCTGTCTTCATATTTTTGTTGTATTTAAAAATATGTTCAAGTCTAGTCGGTGGTGCTTGAGTCAAAATGGGGGGATTTGGAGGGGTGGAAAGTAAATCTGAAATAGTTAGTAAAGATTTGCAGTGTTAATAACATAAAGTCTTCCTCAGCCCAGCCTGAAAAGCATATCAGTGGCAATGATAACATTGTAATACTATGAAAAAGTTTTAAATCGCCTAATAATGCTTTCCAGGAGCCGAATATGAAGTATCTGTGGAATGCTACAGATCTCTAATTACTTTCAAGAGCTACAGATTTTGCATTTTTTTCCCATGTCAATTAGTCTGCAGCTTTAGCCATAGACATGTTGCTCTATTAATTGTTACTTTAATTATATTACAGACACTGTAATCGGAGACAATGAAACTTGGCTATTTTTTTTTTTAAATAAAATGTCATTGTAGCTAAAGCCAAATTTTTCAAACTTGAGTAGTTATAGTTAGGTATCTACATCCCTGATTTCCAGAACAGCTGAGCAGCCACTGTTGCTACTGATGTTAATGAGATCAGAACCACTGGAAATCAGGGAATCTGTATCTCGATGCCTAAATATACATTCAGGTGCCTATCTTTAGACACTCAAGTATGAAAATTTCAGCCTAACTTGCTTGGCAAAAACCTAATTTTTAAACACGTTCATGCAGAACTTTGCATTTTCATGTACAGGTTCAGAGTGTCCATGTCTGAATGTTGCTGCTGTACAAGAACTTACAGGCTGAGTTTTCGACTTTGTCTGTCTAAAAACAACTTACTTTTGACATTTTTAAAATGTATATGTAAAAAGATCAGTTATTTGAGAGGTATCCTATACAGGGCTGCTCCCTGTCTTTTACACATTGGGTAAAGTAGTGTTTACACTTACAACACCGTAACAATAATACCCAACTCACTACCCATCTGCTGATCAAACTTCAGAGAGTTGAATGTACTATGTCATCACTGCATTCTTCTTGGTAACTGGAAATATGGTAAATCTTGATTATCTCATTACTGTAACTAGTCCCACTGACTTCAGCGGGACAAATCATGTGATTAAGGTGGGAGGGATTTAGCCACATATCAAACTGCTAGTTTCAAGGAGATTCTTGTCATGTAAAAATCAAGATTTGGTTTATTTAATATTGAAGTTCTACCAGAGTTCCAGTGCTTTAAAGTAGCGTACTGTACTATTAGACAAATGGATATGCTGAACAGTAGGAAAAATGGAGTATGGTATTTGCAGAGAATATAATCCTATATGCAATACTTGGTACTAGAAAATAGGTTTTAAGCTGATTTCCTAGCAGGCAATAGAGTCCAAGTGCCTTTGACCTTTTCTGGTTTACTCCTGCAGCACACAAGAATCAGCCTTTTAGACTGAGCTGTGTAGCCATGTTTGCATATATTCTTTTTCAAAATGAAGGTGGTGCTTTTTACCACAGAGCTTCTCTCTGACTTCGTTGCAAGTCTCTATGAAGGAAAATTCCGGTTCTTGGGTAGAATAACTTTGTGGCAAAATTCTGCTCCTGTGCCTGAGCGCCCATGCCGTGGAGGGAGGCAAAGGTATGGCCCAATGCAGCCACTTCACAGGAATAGGTGGCAGGCTAGTATCCCTTGCAATTGTTAAGGGCTTGTCTACATTAGCCACTGGATCGATGGGCAACGATCGATCCAGCGGGGGTCGATTTTATCGCATCTAGTTTAAACGCGATAAATCGACCGCCGAGTGCTCTCCCATCAACTCCGGTACTCTACCAGGGCGAGAGGCGCAGGCGGAGTCGACGGGAGAGCGGCAGCCGTTGACTTACCGCAGTGAAGACACCATGCTAAGTAGATCTAAGTATGTCGACTTCAGCTACGCTATTCATGTAGCTGAAGTTGCATAGCTTAGATCGACCCCCCCTCCCCCCGCCCACTGTAGACCAGGCCTAAGTCACAGTCACAGTCAGAGAAGAGCATAACATGTATTCAGCATACCAAACCATTTCAGAGGAGGATCATTTCAGAGGTGCTAAGACCTTCCAATCCCAATATTTTGGCCTAAAGCTATTTTTTTAATTGCTGAATTTCAGACATTTTTGTAAGAATTTATGTACAACATAGGGACTAATAGCATTTTGAGATCCATAGACAAAGAGTGCTGTATAGGTGCTGATATGGCTAAAGGACCAGTTGCTGCCACCTTCACTACTCAACATGAGTAACTGCAAGTAATCTCATTGATTTCACAAAAAGAACAGGAGTACTTGTGGCACCTTAGAGACTAACAAATTTATTAGAACATAAGATTTCATGGACTACAGCCCACTTCTTCGGATGCATATCCAAAGAAGTGGGCTGTAGTCCACGAAAGCTTATGCTCTAATAAATTTGTTAGTCTCTAAGGTGCCACAAGTACTCCTGTTCTTTTTGCGGATACAGACTAACACGGCTGCTACTCTGAAACCTGTCATTGATTTCAGTGGGGCTACTCCTATAATTATGTATTACTTAATCTGAATAAATGTGGCAGAATATGCCATAAAGCATAGTTAGGTGCCAAGCAAAATTGCACACATTTCTGCCAGTGCACTCCCAATTCTTGATCCGCAACACCTGTTGTCCCAGTTTGTTTTATTTTGTTCTTTTCTTCTTCTTTAGACTCCCATTATACAGCCACTGAGGTAAACCTAGATTTAAACACAGCCTTTTGCAACTCCTCTGAGCCATCCACTGCTCCTCATGTCTTTTCTTCAAGGTGTTAAAAAAAAATGACCCAACTAAAATATTGTGCAACTCCTGGACAATCAATCTTTTGAAAAAGCTGAACTTCTAGAAAGCATCATCTGCTCATATTTTAAATGCTTCTGTCTTGGAATTTGTGATATACTGAGAAAGGAGGAAAAATTAATAAAAATAAAAGTGATTACATTAAAACTGTTTTGTGCTTTGTTTTTTAATAATAAACAGTCTGCTGGTGTTGTGTGACTGGCCCTAGGTTTGTATTGCCTTCTCCAGCCTGTCCACTGCTACAGCCATTTCCCATTTTTCGCCAACTGCTTGAAGGATATTAAGGTCCTATTGTCAAATAAATCCCTGAGGAAGATGAGTCCCTGCCTAGGTTATTGTGATGGTATCAGCTGCTGCCCAAGAAACACAGGACAGACTGAGTGCCTGAAGTCAGTTACTAACTGGAGATAGCCTGCATGGAAAGTTTGGCACCATATTTGAAGAACTCCAAACTTTGGGAAACTTCAGATCCAAGGTTATGTTCTGCCCATTAGAGACATAGCAGCCAACTGTGCAGTTCAGCTCTAACTACAAAGTTCCGCAGAGTTCATGGGATGATATGATGCAAAGTTGGTTTCAAGTCATGCTGTAGTTCTAACGTGTAAAACCATTATTTTTAAATGAGGACATTTTCAGTGCCCTGTTATTGATTTGGGATCTTAGTGTACTTTCTTTAAGCATTTTAGTTTCTTTATTAAGAAAAAAATTCTTGCCATAGGGAATCAAGTGAAAGACTGTACAAACCAAGCTCAGAACATTTTCTAAGATGCTGCACGTGCCTACATGCATGGGGAAAAAAGGAGATGGTGTTCAATTGTTATATTTTATAACAAAGAAGGAACTTCAATCGGGATTATATCCCAGGTGTAAATTTCAGATTGTGTAAATTGTATTTTGATAGGTGCAATGCCCTTATAACAGAAGTCTACCACCCATCCCCTTTTCTAAAGTAAACAACCAACCCTGTACATTGTAAAACATATCAGGACAACCTGATCTACTTTTAATTTTGTTTTGCTCAGTTAGAACTTTGGCTTCTTGCCTCCCCAAAGAAAGTCCCCAAGTTTTATCCAAGACCTGATGATCCTTTGCTGAAATAACCAGAGGTAACCTCTAGATGATATATAAAATGTGTAGGAGGGTAGCAGGAAGGGAGGGAATAATTTTTAATTAGATACAAGTTACCCAGGAGGGAAAGACAGAAAAATCTCCATCTGGTCACTTCTTAATAGGGCAGATGAGACTGAGACTATTCTTGGTACAAAGATGTAGTATATAAAATGCCAACTGACCATTTGCATTGAAATCCCAGATAGTCTAAACTGGGTTAAGAGTGATAAAGTAGTACTGTCAGGGAGTTGGAGAGAGCACAGCTTTCAAGCTGTGGCAGGCATTTGATGGGTGGCCTAGAAATACCTTAGATCAGACAATCAAGAACTTTTACATAGTAGAGACCACATCTTAATGGACAGATTGTTCAGACACCTCCCCTCCCATTAGGAACTATAGCATCTGCTTATTTGGAAAATTAATATTTGCAAATAATTTATTCCAGTTTTAGCTTTATTGACATTTAGCAGCTGAAACAAGGAGATCCAGTGCTGGTCAGGTTATTCCAATGTCTAGTGATTTTAACTGCCTCAATTTTGGGTGCCTAGCTTGAGATAGCCTAGGGGGTGACAGTTCTCAGAAATTGCTGAACTGCCATCCTCTGAAAGTCAGGCCTCTTTAAGGTGTCTCAAGTACGGCACCTAAAATCACTAGTCACTTTTCAAAATGTTGACCTGTCTGCTCAAGGGAACATTGTAGAATTACTGCCTTCGATGGACTAAAAAGCAAAACATTTTACTACCAAATAGAAATACTAGAAAACCAAACTCATGGAAACACAGTTATTAGGATTTATTAGAGTTGGTTTTGGAATTGACATGCCAGTCAACTTCTATGTTCTAAATTTTTTTAAAAAGTAATATTGGCAAATAGTATTTGGATTCCCTCCTTACCAACCATGACAAACAAGTACCTAAGTCCCAGTGACTCTATAGATCATGCCAAAAATGACAGAGTTGAGAGGGTATCCCAGTTTTATCACATGTTCATGCTAAACAATGGCTGATTAATAATAGCTAATGCAGCTAGCACATGTATTAGAGGAAAATTAAAGGAAGGGGATGTCTGCTATTAGCCAGGGTGGGCAGGGATGGTGTCGCTAGCCTCTGTTTGCCAGAACCTGGGAATGGGAGACAGGGGATGGATCA